CAGCGGGTGTAGAGGTAACAGCGGGTGTAGAGGTAACGGGTGTAAGGAAGGAAGGAAGTTGTTCTGCCACTCTGCAAGTTAGTTACTTTTTCAGTAGCCATTTTCCTTAATAGATGACACGTAAGTTTTCGAGTTCACTGCGAGTTCACATCGAGGACACAAAGTTCGAATGCATATTTTACCATTGCATTTAACAGGTGGTGTAGAGGTGTAGAGTTAACAGCACCACAGACACAATAATAAAGCAGATACTAGATTGTATTATGCTCTCAGGTGTTAATTACAATGCAAACCTTCAACAAAAGAACAGAACATACTTTGTGTTGCATCACGTTGACCTGACACCAGCTCAGCTCTGTTGTTCAAGAGACAGAAACGCTGTCACGCAAACGGGATCATATCAGGTGTCGTATGATATACAATAAACTCTAGATTGAGGGTTGTTTGAGTTCAGTCGAGCACTTGAAGGCTGTAACTTGCTGCTCATCTTCCACCACCGTGTCTCCTAACGACTGCTGGTGAAACATAACATATGTATGCTTGTACTGATGCTAATAAAGCTTACAACCATGTGGTTAAATGTGGTGGCTCTAATCTGAAAGTGGACTTTTGCCTCAATAGGATCCCCTTCAACAGTGTGTTGTGAAACAGTCGCGTCAGACATATGCAGACGTTTAGGGCTCAACATCTGGTGTTTTAACCCGTCAGGAGGAGTTTAACTAACGGATGCATCCCCAAAAAATCTGACAATGGTGCTGACTTTACTCCATTTATGCCTCCACGGTGAGGGGAGAATCAAGACACTGAGAAAAGTCTTCATGAATTGGAGTAAATGGGGTCAAAACGACATCAAAACATCTGTTTTCCAAACGATAAGTCATCTATTCAGATGGTAATGTTTTAGCAAAGATGCATTTGGTTTGCACCCTGTCTTTAAATTGTGACAGTAATATTTCTGGGTTTCTGGCTGTCAAAATATGACATTTAAAGACGTTATCTTTTAGGCTTAAGAATCCATTTTTCACTGTTTCTTGAGGTGTTTTCGAGTATGTAAGAAACGCTTCTGTTTTTCCTCAACACCGTGTCTTAGTTTTGTGTTGTCTTGAACAGTTCCACAGTGTTTCCATTGTTCCACAGAAGTTTAATGGTTCCTTGTCTTTCTTTTCTCTTCTCAAACATGACGTTTCAAAGACTAATATCATGCAGTCACCGTCTCTGATTGACAATGAGCGTTGTCAAATATGTGGGTCACTCAACCAGAATAACTAGATATTTGTATGAGAAGTAAATCAATGCAGGAGGCTTCTAAAGATAGAAAAGATTCTTCTGCTGCAATAAAATCCAGTGGCCAAAGAGAGGAAAAACACCAGTCTGTGTGCACATAATTACCTCGATTTAATGAAATCGTTCCCACGTTTTGAATAGTCAAATAATGCACATGGCCAAGTGATTCATTCCGGCCTCCATGTGCTTATAAAGAGCTTGTCCTTGTTAGATAGAGACTCTTTTAAATGAGCTTTACTGCAGCTTATCAAGACATGTGGACAACACTTTCAAAGGTGATTGGTGTTTCCCAGTAATTACTGTGGGCCTACCACAGTACTGGATGGCCATCACCATTCATATCTATGTACAAATATCCTTTATTGGAGCACATAGTTCTTTATTTTGACTTCATAGTAGGTCAATAAGAAAGCCTGGTGGTAACCGGTGAAGCATTTAAAGGCTGAACTGTTGTACTGCACATTAACCCTCAAAGTGGGAAAGATTTCATTAAACTGAGGCGATTACAATCTCTTGCGTACAAATTTATAAATTGTGGCATTGATTTATTTATTTCTTCTTCTTCGGCTTCGCACCGATTTGATTTTATACTCGAAGACAAAGGTATTAACTTTACAATGATGTAAAACTGAGAAGCAGCACAAAGTGATCTAATTATCACACAAATAAAGCCTAAAACTATCAATAAAAACTAAAAAAGGCTGATCAGTTAAATGTAGCGGCTGCTTTGTGGTGCATTTGAAACCTCCTTCAGTATCACTTCTCCTCTATTCCAGTAAATCTTCCTTTAAATGAATTAGATGGATCGAGAGACGAGAAGCAGGCGAAGGAAGGAAAAGGAGAGAGAGAGAGAGAGAGCGAGCCCGCGCTGGAGAGATGATGGAGGAGGGGGTTCTCTGTTTCCATGGTCACTGTTGCTCTTGTTGAGCTGTGGTGTTTTATTTTTTATTATTGTGCTGAACTCAATGTTCTAACCAGCTCTGACTAGTTTCTTCCTTACGCTCCTCCGTCCTGAAAATGTACTTCTTTCTTTATTTTCTTGCTAAAATATCAGAGAATTGTAGAAATAGCATCCATTATAATATCCTATAATATAATAATGTGACTAATGAGGACAACGGTGTTTAAACGGGCTGTAACGGTATCGCTCACTGCCATTTACGTCCACTAAAAGTAATGTTAAGAATTATATATTTGGTTGATTTTGCATTTCCTCAATCTGGCCCAGCACTAGTCTGTAAATATGTTATATACATGGCCTCATACAGATTAATCATAAGATCGTTAGGGCTCGAGCAACCGACGTCGGGCTGCGAAAGCCCTATTGAAATCCAACGGATTATTATTGTTTTATTATTATTGTTCAGATTTTTATTTTTTGTAAATTGGCCGCATTTTTGGGGGACTTGCCGTACTCCAAAATTCACCACATTTTGCACACTTGTCAGGCCTGGTTAAAATAGCCATCTGATATAGGTTGCATATTTGTGTTTTAAAAAATGTCTCTCTAGCGCCCCCTACAAGTTGTCGAATTACTTGAAACTCGACAAATATGTCCAGCTCCGCTAGCTCTACAAAAAAGCCTCTTGGACCCCGAAACTCCGTCTCCCAACATTTTCCGCCATTTAGAATTTTGTGACAAACGCATTTTTGCAAACTCCTCCTACATGATGGGTCTGATTGCTAACAAATTTGCTGTCCCTAGGAGGAGTTCGTTAAAGTATAGCACCTAGAAATTATTAAAAATCAAGGGAAAATTAACACAAACATCGAAATGGCCGACTTCCGGTACAGTTTAAAACATGGTCCCAGGAGACTTTTTTTAAGTCTCATGGGATACACATGGAATCGCATATCTGCTATCGTAGACTCGTGCTGTTGATTCGCTTCGAAGCGGACCAAGACCCGGACGTTCGGTCCGCACCAGGGTTTTGATTGACAGCTTTCACACGGCCCAAAACAAACTGGTTGATTACGATCTTGTTGTCGTCTCTCCAGCCTTCCCCTGGTTCGGCATGGACATCGGTGGCACCTTGGTCAAGTTGGTGTACTTTGAGCCGGTCGATATAACTGCAGAGGAAGAACAAGAAGAAGTGGAAAACCTCAAGTCCATCCGCCGCTACCTCACCTCAAATGTGGCCTATGGTACGTCTATACACACACACACACACACCTGCATTCACACACACATACCTGCATCTGTTGACTCATGTATCTAAAACGGGGCGAGTCAGGTCAAGGACTCCCATCATGAAGATAGCAGGATGTACTTTTCCCTGTGTGTAGCTCGTGAATTGCATAAGATTGATAAGGTGCTTTGTTCTTGACTTCAGCAGATAAGGGTTGCCATTTTGAGAGATTGATATTGACATTTCTTGTCCTAAACACATTTTATTATTTGTTGGTGCGTTTACCTGCATGTGCACATCTGCTTTAGAGACGACGGTGAAACGAAACAAAGTGAAGAAGTTATTTGACTGAGGGGTGAAAAGTTTGACGAACCCATCAACCGATTTGATTCAAAAGAACGAAAAACAGAGAAATGTGTGAAGTCTTGAGAGGAGAAGCAAAGCATGAACAACTCATGTCAACATGTCGCATCTTTATTACCAAGGTGACGTTTAGTTTAACTGTAAAGTATCTTCATTACTCAAAATATAAGGTGACTAAAAACCACAACTATATTTTCAGTTTCAGCAACCAAATGCTGGTTTCCTGACAACCATTTCTAAAAGTGTTGAGTCCTGTTCAGGTTCAGTTGTTCCAGAAAGTGCTCAGAGTGTTTGTTTAACTCATAAAAGAGCACAGAGTCCCGTCACATATAAAACTGGTTCCTGCCTCGCTCAGGTAAAACCGGCGTCCGTGACGTCCACCTGGAGCTGAGGAACCTGACCATGTGCGGCCGGACGGGGAACCTGCACTTTATCCGCTTCCCGACGCAGGCCATGCCCCGGTTCATCCAGATGGGTCGCGACAAGAACTTCTCCAGCCTACACACAACACTCTGCGCCACCGGAGGCGGAGCGTACAAGTTCGAGAACGACTTCAGGACGGTGAGGACGGAGAACGTTGTCTGATTGGTTATTAGAATCGGACAAAACAAGACATTCATTTTTTAGTGTTTTCTCTTCATCAAACAAGAAAATGTGAATCGATAATTAAAAAAATGGTTAATTGTAGTCAGGCAGCAACATCTGGGTCTGAAAAGTGAAGCCAAAGCTTTGTGTGTTAAAGCTGCATTCTCTCTAGTGTCCACCAGGGGGCGACTCCTCTGGTTGTGTAGAAGTCTATGAGAAAGTGACTCTACTTCTCTCTTGATTTATTACCTCAGTAAACATTGTAAACATGAGTTTATGGTCTCAATCTCTAGTTTCAAGTCTTCTTCAATACAGCATGATGTTCATTTAGTACATGATGGTCCATTTAGAGTCACACAGACCATAAAGCAGGGGATGCTTTAGGGTGGGGCTACCCAGTGATTGACAGATCTCTACCAGAGACGTATACGGCGTCTCTACGTCACTCCTCCTCAGTCCATATATGGTCACTTCCTGTTCACTGGTTGCAAAAAGAACCAAGATGGCGACGGCCAAAACGCTGAACTCAAGGCTTCAAAACGTCAGTCCACAAACCAACAAGTGACCACATGGCAACTACACCATTTAAACAGTTCTGTCACATTTAAAGTTTACAGATTTAGCATACATCTCTGTCTCTCTCTCTATGTCTTTGCAGTTGATTAAGGTTTTACCTGAGTTCGTTGACCTTTTCTGCAGCTCAGTAGGATCAATAAACTCTCCCTCAGCAGGTGGTCTTAAAGTTGCTTTGAGAAGCATTTCATCTTCATTAAACTGAATAATCTTTTTTACTTTAAATCACCTTTGAGCTAAGCTAGCGTCCTCCTCTCTCTGTGCTCTGCAGATGGCCGACCTGGAGCTGCTGAAGCTCGACGAGTTGGACTGCCTGATCCGCGGCCTGCTGTTCGTGGACCGGGTGAGCTTCAACGGACACCCAGAGGGTTACTACTTCCAGAACCCGTCGGACACCCAGAGCTGCGTGAAGAAGACCTGCACCCTGGACAACCCTTTCCCCATGCTGCTGGTCAACATCGGCTCCGGGGTCTCCATACTGGCCGTGTACTCGGAGAACGACTACAAACGGGTGACTGGGACCAGGTGAGGAGGGTAGACAACTAGAAAAGAGAAAGTAGAACCTGCAACCGCTCAGCAAGCTACCACCTACTCTCCTACTGTTATAGACATGTTGATAAAGGTATTAAATCAGACCTAAGTAGACCTATTTTATATATGTATGACAAATGTTTCCACCAGTGTTCAAACCAGAGAAAATTTTAATTTTAAGGTAGCTGAGTTAACCTTAGACGTCTGGATCTTAAGTTATCAGAGGAACAAGCTGAGCTAACGTTAGCATCATCATGTTTAACGTGAAGCTGCTTTATTCAGTGTTTTAATCAGAGGAGGAGACCTCTGTGGTAAAAACCTCCTGAACCATGAACACTAAAGGAATCCTAACGACTGCAGTGAGAACAACAACTCCCATTATCCCACGCTGCGTCACTGCCAAATGTTTTGGGCCCAAAAACAATAGAAAGGCCGAAGTCCACCGTGAGCCCTAAATCAATGAGTTTTGGAACTTGAAGTTCTTTTTGCTTGAATGAATATGTGTGAAAGGTGAAGGTGGCCGAATATTTTTCATAGCTTCAGTCCATCCGCCAGATAAGAACCAATCAGCTGATTTTGAATTCCAGCTGTTCTTTATCTCTGTCACCTTTTGTACCTTTGTATAATACTAGAACTAGATTATGATTAGATAGGGAGCTGTTGACAGGTCTTTACCAGACATGATGAGAGAAACATCAGTTATTATCTCTCACTATATTAAAACTGAGCAAAATAAGATCATTGTTAGTATTTTAACTTTTTCTCATATTTCTGTCTTGAATTTCATCTATTTATTTCATTTTTAACTATTTATAGGAAGAGATATTAGAGTTAAGGACAGAAGTAGATTTAGTAAAGTGAATCTTTGCTCGTCTTCCTCTTTCTTTTCCTCTCACTTACTTGTACCTCCACCTCCCTCTCACCTGTACCTTCATCTCACACCTGTACCTTCGTCTCACACCTGTACCTTCCTCTCACCTGTACCTCCCTCTCACCTGTACCTTCCTCTCACCTGTACCTCCCTCTCACCTGTACCTCCCTCTCACCTGTAC